AGGTCATGTCTGACAGAGCTTCTTTAAAAGTATCCATTGCGAATGAGAGTTATATAAGATGTAGGCGTATAGAAATCTTTTTCTATGCATTAGGCATATAGAGATGTATATGGAAGTGACGGCCGCCAGGATCTGACAGCGACTCGAAAAAGATTCTGCCGTCTACGGGAATGCGAACCTGCTCGGTCGATGGTCTTCTGGATGTCAGCTTCCTGCAACCCGCAGAGTGTTTTGGGAACCCGTGGCTTTCGATATGGAAATATCGCGACGTATCGATAGATCGATCGGTCCAAAATTATTTTGGCTTTTATTTCTACTCTGATTGGCACGTTCTTGCCGGTTTTGAAATCGCTGCATTCGTATTTTAATTGGCATAAGAAACTGTAGAAAATCGTATTATAACTTCATGAAGAACTTCAGAATTTATGCATTTCACCAAAGGATTATATTAAATAAATTCCTGGATGTTATAACATGAGAATACGATAAGCTCTGAAGATGGCTGTTTTCTGGGTTGTTGACTCGTGTAGTCTGGTTGAAGCTTACCAACGTTTCAGGGGTACTTGCTGCCTCCATCATCACGGCGATAATTAATCATCGCCGAGAAAACCACAGATTCTACTCCACTCCGAAAACCTTCAATAAAAATTCGCCTTGAGAGTTCTTGGTACTGATTGGAGGACAGAATTAAAATAGTAGATTGTCAGGGTGTGGGTGGACTTGATTGATCTAGCTCAGGCAGTGGACGTTCGAGCTGCATAAAGGCAGGAAACTTTTGACTAGCTCAGCCACTATTAGCTTCTGAACAAGCTCAGTTCCATCGGTCAACCGTCGATGGTTGGCCTCTCATTCTCTCTGTCTGCGCTGCCGCGTGTTCGACGTCGCTGTTGTGGCCTACCTGGGGCTAAACGGACTGCGCCAACACCGCGCTCCGTGCAGAGGCTAATCACGGGCTATCTGATGGCTGCTAAGAGATGTTTGGTCGCCTGCAGGCTAATACGACGCCCGTATCACTCTACGGTTGCGTCTGGATTCGTTTTAAATTGTGGAAAATTCTAGGTCACACGTAGGACTGCAGGTTACAGAGCCTTCGCGCCTGACATTGGAAATTATTTTTGAATCTTAACCCGAAACTATGAAGAATTATATTTTTTTTAAATATTTTTCAGTATGATTTAATAGCTAAGAGGCAGTGATACGTTTCTCCTTGATGTGTGAAGTCAAGTCTATTTAGACGTATAAGAAGGTATTAAGAAGAAAGGGATAGTTTTTCTAAAAAAATTTCCTTAAACTAGCCTATCCAAATAAAACTTCTGGAAATGAATGACTAAAATCTTTCAGACAAAACAGCGAGACGTAATTAGTTTCATGCAATTTGTCCTGTTGATAAGGTTATTTTTTATGACTTCTGAGTATCAAGCGCTGTGCTGTCTTCGATTAATTTAGCGGATCCGTGCTCAGCGTGCCGAAACATTTCTGTAAGGCCTGTTCTCCTCTCGCAGTTAGTCAAAGGATTGGAATTAATGCTGGCTTTATTACGAGAAAAATCGCTCGCTTTCGACAAAGGATCTTCGAATCTGACCATTGAGTCAGTACCCTCTGCTTACTGACCACTTCCCTCTAGTCTCTGAGCAAATTATCCCCCCACCCCCACCACCAAAAAGTCACATAGGCTATTACGCGAGATTTCTTTGGATAAATTCACAGATTTATCTCTCCATTCGGTACTTAGGTTACATACAAGGCGTGCCCTTGTACACAGTTTTCTTCGCAAGTGGATTTGAACAAGTGTCAACGTCCGTGTGTATTCTAACGTTTCGGAGAGACGTCCTGCTTCCATCTTCAGCACGGCGTTGCAACCGACGAACGAACTGCGAACTGTAAGTATCTGCAGGCCCGTTTTCAGGTGTCCTGCGACGCCGGGGCGTCCGCCGAGACGCTGTGTCACGTATCGCTAAGACGCAGTTTGAATCCTGCGCGTCTGACCAATTTTACGGGCCATTTCCTCCAACTCCTGCCCCACATTTTTTTTTTTTTTTTTGGTACGATGACGGCGAGGCTTCATCGCGAACAGTCGAATGATTTCTTTGCATCGATAGATTTAACGTCCGCCTCTTTAAAATATTTATCTGTCAGCCAGCGCTCGTTCCTAACTTCGTTGCATGGGGCCTGACTCTCCGATCGCCTCGTCTCATTTCAACTGACCTTCATTCTGTTCGCTTTTGTTTTCTTGGAATGTGACTGAGGCGAAGCGAAACTGCGGCTCCGAAGACGTCCTCAGGTCGAGGGACCATCGCCTAAACATTCGCTTAGCTGTTGTCTTTTTCAATAGGCCTAATACGACGCTCGACGTTGCTGTTAGGCTAAGCTAATTCAAACTTAATAGAATATTGCGTTAATTATATTAATATTAAGGGAATATTACAATATATTTATTTATACGCGCGTAGAGTACGGCCTATGTGCGAAGTGACACGCGTTTTAAACTGCCCGTAATGAAAATTAAACTAAATTACGTAGGCCTAAGAAATTTTATTAAAAAACATTTCGTTAAATTCATGTTCAGAAAATTAATTTTTATAAGACGTGTTGTTTTGTTCTTTAAGTTAAATAAATGTCTAGCCTGCGAGGTCTACATCCGCTTCGAGAAGACCGAAGGTATAAAATTGTACTGTCCACGTTCCACGCGGTGATAGATTAGGCCTAATGAAATCATCAGCAGAACTAAAAAATGCAGTCGTAATTTCAATATGGAAATAACAATGTCGAACACAGGCTAAGTGGGCCTGTAGCTACTGAGCGTGGTTCTTATTCTCGGATTACGCGCCTCGCCCTCTGTAGCCTAGCTTACTACTAAGCGGGGCCTAAGTTGTTCTTTTTAAGGAACTTAAAACTTATGTTCACAAATAAAATCAAAAACATTCCGTCATTAATATTTTAATTATATTTGAGAAGGTAAGTTTTGTAGCAAATAATTACACGTGCGTCACGTAACCTAAGCCGCGATCCACTCAGTCACTTAACGACTTAGTAAATGAGCTAAGCTGCCGGCTGGGCTAATTAGGCTAATTGTCTCTGTCAACACTTTCACGACACTTCTGTGTTTTTGGGAGCGTAGACTGAGGCGTGTTGAAACAGAAATTTCCCACACATGCAGTCCTTTCTGAGAAGCTGATAGTCGCTCAAATTGTCATCAGTTCTCCTGTCCACATCCTTCTAATATCCTCCCATCTATACCTAGGTCTTCCCAGTTGCAGCTAATGTTTTCGAGTCTTTTATCTCCGCGATGCGTGCTGCAAGCTCGCCAATCTCATTCTCCTCGATGTCGTCGTCCTAATATCTTCAGACGCGCGTCGTTAGCTCGGAGTGGCTGTCCGTTGCCGCGCGGTCAGCGGAGCTGCACCCGAGGACCCGTCGCCCGTCGCCGCGATCAACACCGAGCGAGAGGTCGAACCCAACCAAGACGAAGGGACTTTTCGGGGCACAAGGGCTCTTTTCTAAGAGGAGACTGGTCGCCCGTCTGGCGACTGCCACTGGCCAGGGTGACGGCGAGTGGTCTCAACGTCCGGGACCGTGGGCTCGAGCCTGGGGAAGGCTCCAGAACACGCGTCCCGGAACCGGGCCTGTGCCCAAAGATTCTTACCTTGGAAGGGGTATCCAGTGAAGCATGGCCGCATCATGCCAAAGTTGGTCACTGTCATCTTACGCCGCCGTGGCCACAGCAACTATCACATGTCACACGGAAGCTCACTCGAGCGCCCGACACAACCGCTCGGACGCGTCCCTACAACTGAAGGCCGGACGACACTCCGCTGTCTAATAGCGCGCCGGTGCACTTTCTAAACACGCCCCCGGACCGCCCCCAGGCGACGCCCATTGGCTCACAGGTCGGCCAATAGGGGCGCGAGGCGGGGCGAGGCGTCCGATTCCATCTTATTGCGTAGAGAGAGACTGAGACTTGGGGAAAACCACGTAATATGAAGCTCAGACTGTGGCGTCGTATGGCAGGACGGCCAATGAACGGTGAATTGGTAAGGATTGGGAAGGAAGAGCCACCCTGGCATTTGTCAAATGGGGAAACCTCGACCGATCCCCCAGTCTGAGACCTCGAAAGTGGACGCAAAGCTGAAATCCAACGCTGGCTGACGAGATCTTCAAATGTCAGTGGTGGTCCTCGGGGGTTGGGACGCCCGGAAGCTGAAGACGGCGTGTTCCTCTGCCTGTCCACGCGGCGTCACTGCCTAGAAGACCACTGGGTCGTAAAACGCCCAGATCTCAGGGCATTCGGCGTCTGCAAGGTTTCCATTCGAAGGCGGAGGACGTCCACGGCCCTCGAATTACGGACGGCGCTACACAGTCACTGGATAAGCTAGTAGTTGCTCCTGCAGTCGGAAGAAAATCTCGAACTTGCGTTTCCTTGAAAAAAAAAGTAGTGCCTGGATTAGACCACGGCGTTTTAGTGGGACGACCAGCGAGGAACTCGAGAAAGACTGAGATGGGAGAAGCTAAGAACAGACAGGGAATGAGAGAGCGGGATGAATATTTGTACGTAGAGAAATTACAAAACGCTTCGCAATGTTGGGTTAGGTCAGCGGAATAAATGTAGAGTTGGCTGCAAACAGAAAACGTGGGCGCCTTTTAAGGTGAACTACGAGCAGCTGAGATGAAATTCCTCAGGGCAGTCGTGGGAAAAACCAGGACACACTCGGTCGGTCGGAGGCCGCGTTGGAGAGCAGGGCTCGAAGGCTGTCGGAAGAAGACCCAGAGGCAGACCATGCACGCGATGGACGAGAGAGAGATGGAGGGGTGTGGGGACATTACACGGGACCACCCCTTGTCGGCTATCCGCACAGCTACCTCGGAGGCCTGCTCCGTACCGCACACGAAAGCCGAGGAAACGTATTTTCATGTCTCCTGTGTTCCTGAGCTGTATTTTTCTCTCTTTTTTTGCCAGTTCGATGGGAATCCGGCAGGAAGAGCTGCCCCGCCCTCGTGACTCTTCAGTTTCGAGCTTCCGGTAGATGTTCCTGCAGCAAAGTGATTAATTGCAGGGCGTGCCACTTGGTGGGGACACTTGACATTTGTTTCTTGGATTCAATCACGTGACTTCACGGCCCACGTGGAACTGATAATGTGCCCCGAGTTTCGTAGAGATCTGTCCGACGCCACGGTCGACGTACGCCAGGATGTGTTTCTCCTGTCCCCCACAGGTGCATCTTCGTGACTCGGAAATGCTTTTGATTTGCGCTGGCGAGGGAGTGAACCTGCCTTTTTTGAGAGACGATTTTCGGAACGTCTCTGAAATTTAAATCTGTTTCTTAAGGCTGCCAGTGTGGTAGAAATTGACAGACGTTTAAGAGGGTTGTTCACAGTGAACAGCTCTGAAACGTCTGTCAATTTCTACCATCTTCGTATCGCTGCATGTCTGCAATTTACGCAGAAACATTCTTCGTCTCTCAGTTAAAGCAGAATGACAAGCGACCACCTGCTTTAAGAGTCATCGACTCTGCATTTCGCGTTTTCTTTTATGATTCTCGCTGTAAAAGGCGATTATTTCCTTGAACAGAGTTAAAAAGTTGATCTTCGTAACGGTGAAGAGTTGTGTTTTCTTCGCGGTACGGACTGAATACTTAAATGTTATTGAGGCGAGCTTTGGGCTTCGAAAGGTTAATTACCGAGTCGCGAAGGCGTGCAGGTAAACTCCAGGCGCTGGATTCAGGTAGGCCCAGTGTTGATGTTCTCAGAGCACATTGTGCGGGAGGGAGGACAGGCTTGAGAGTGTATGAGGTAGGAATATTTTGAAGGCAATATTTGGAGCTGGAGGAGGAACGTTCAGGTCAGTGGCCCGGTTGGGTTTTTGTCGCTAAGGACACAACTGTGCACTTTGCTGCTGGCTTCTCGCAGATTGACCTGCGCTAAGACGAATGACGTGCTGTAAATCAGACCGTCATAAACCGCTGTCGGCCCGTGAGCCAGAGGAGAAAACTGTCCATCGAGACTCGGTATTTCAAGGAAGGTGATTTCGACGAGAATCGTCTGAGACATTCTGAAGCGAATAGAAAAACTTGTGGCGAAAGGAAGTAAGGTGAGGGGGGGGGGATTTTTCGATAGACCTGTTGCATTGGCAGTCTTCATGACCTCTAAGATGAAGCTGTTAATTTTTAGAATTTTTTTTTTTGGGGGGGTGAAGATGGCCAGCCCATTTTATAAGAGAGTCTCTTGAACTGTCAGTGCGTGGCATCTTCAAAATTAGGCCATAGAATAACGTATTAAGGCTTTGACCGGGATGTTCTTTTGTTAAATCGTATGTGGTACCGCCTGATTCGACTTCTAATGGTTAAGTGAAGTGTTTTCTTCGCGGTACGGTCTGGATTCGTAAATAATATTTAGACGAGCTTCGGCGTCAAAGGGTTAACCAGCTGATTTTCGTAATGGTGAGGTGTAGTGTTTTCTTCGCGGTACGGTCTGGATTCGTAAATAATATTCAGACGAGCTTCGGCTTCAAAGGGTTAATAGATATCTATGACATTCACCGCTTCGTTCTCGGGCTAATTTATGCTCTGAGACCAGTTTCTTCATCTGGAAAGTCGCTCAGTGCGTTGTATTAGCCGCAGACGTTTCGGCCCTTCTGAAACGTTGCGACTCGTTTTCATTTGCCTGTCGTGCTGTGCCCGAAGATTTTAAGGATCGCGTTTGCTGGTCTCCTGAGGTTCAGCCTCTCTGCAGTTCATCATTTACTGTTGTCGTCTCAATGCCAGAGGAATCATTAGCGCAGAAGACCTCGCTGTCCTGCCGTAAATCTCCTGCCTCTTTATTGCACCCCTAGTGAAGTCTTAATTCGTTTATGGGTCCCCAGTGTCGGGCTGTGTCATCACCTGGGACTTAGAGTAGTGAGGGCCGTCATGTTTTGAATTTTGGAAAGGGTCGCTGTCATCTGACGCGGAGAGCCAGAGTGCCATTAAGACTGTTTGTCTGACTCACTCTTCTCCCACTTCGCTCCTTGCATAATTCTTATCTGTCTGTGGATTCAAGGTCGCGTGTTACATCGTCTCTTAAATTCTAATATGAAATGAAGCTGGCCCTCACTTGTCGCATAAATTTGCGTCTGGGGCAGAGAAGAAACCGCATTACAAGAATCGTAATAATATTAAAATGGATGTACGTGAAATACTTCGTGCAGGATTCACAGACTGTTAGGTTCTTCTGTTCCGCCCGTCCGCCCCCGCGCCCGTCTGTTCCAGTTTCCATCCATACAAAGGAATTACATGCAGCTACTGGAAAGCGCTGTTCCCACGGTAACGGACCGGTTTATTGACGCCATATATCAGCGACGAGCTGATGGCTGCCAAGGAAATAATAATAATAGTCCTATAACTGAGGCACGTAGGCAAGAAGGATCCTTTCTTCGAGAACTTTATGTTTGTAAATAGGAGAGACAGCGCAGCCTGGCCGAAGGGGTCAGGAGGTGCGGCAGTAAAGAACGCCGAGCTATGTTTCAGTAAAACGGACACAATTCATCATCATCACTCCACCCGTTGACCCACAACGGGCTCCGTCGTCCGAAGGTCCCTTTAAACGTCGCCCGATCCACGTGGACGTCATCAACTCCACTTCAGCGCCCGTAATTCTGGTTCTGATTTTCGAAATAGGCCTAAGGCCTCAGGCGATCCACCGGGTGAATTTTCCGCTAGGATCTTCTGGACTTTGGTGGTCTCAGTGCTGCCCCCTTGGGACCTGCAACTTCCGCCAAATCACAAATGCTAACTGCTACAATTTCTTCTCCTTCTGCTTATCCGGTTTGTACCACTAACTAACTAACTAACTAACTAGACGGCTTACCGAACCCGAAGGTTCATTACCGAATTAACCAAAGCCCTCCACCGGACCCTGTCCTGGGCCAACAAAATCCAGTCTCCTTCGACTCCTGTCTCCCATAGATCCCGCCTGACATTATCCTCCCATCTATGTCTAGGTCTCCCCAGAGGTCTCTTCCCCTCAGGCTTGCCAACCAACACCTCTCGCCACTAACTATCCTAAGTAACTGGTCGTCGTCTACTGACTTAAGCTACCTCACCACTGTTCATCACTCAGTGCGTTTTCTACTGAAACTGCAAATTAGGCATTAACATTTGTCTTCCGAACTTTATATTATTGGGCGTCAGGTGTCGTCGTTAATTCGTCGTCTCACGTACGTCCTCTCGACACTGCAGGCCATTGGACGTACCTCCCGCTCTCCCACTCATTTGTCATGTGTCCCATGTTTCTGAGCATTTCCTTCTGAAATCCACTTCTGTGCCTTCGTACAGCGAGCCTACGCATATTCTGATTTCCGTAGGTTGTCTGTGAACCTGTTTCACTTCCGGTTTCACCTGCAGTGTAGCAGGTTTAGCGACGCGCCTTCTTTATTTCGAATCCTGACTTCGCAGAATTCTCGCGGATTGTCGCCAGGTTCTCGCGCGACCTCAAGGCTCGTGTGTCGCATTTGCATCTTCTCTGCCAGCTCCGCCATCTTGTGCTATTAATTCTACAGTTTCCGTAGGTTGTCTGTGAACCTGTTTGACTTCCAGTTTCACCTGCAGTGTAGTAGGTTTAGCGACGCGCCTTCTTTATTTCGAATCCTGACTTCGCAGAATTCTCGCGGATTGTCGCCAGGTTCTCGCGCGACCTCAAGGCTCGTGTGTCGCATTTGCATCTTCTCTGCCAGCTCCGCCATCTTGTGCTATTAATTCTACAGCTTTTTCTTCTTCTCCTTCTCCTTCTTCTTTTTTCGTTCGACA